AAATTATAATGTATTATTAACTCTTGAGACGATCCAAGTGCCTGTGTGGGGAATCAGTTCCAAGTGCTAGGTGTGTGTGGTCCCCCCTGTACGTATGCGAACGCACGTGCCACCGTCCCCGGCGTCAGTCATACGCACGAACTTACACGCATTCATAGTTTCGAATCAAAAGAAACGTGTAAGTGTAGGATCGCATGACTCTGCAAACCAAATTACCATGGCTTTGTTATTATGGCTATTACTGTGCGATTGATTTCTCATTCAACGCGGAAAATGCCAGAGCGCTCTCCCGCAGCCGACTGGAGCCTTATTACTCTGGTTAACTCCCGGTGTCTGTACGTGTTTCCTAGATACACGCTATAGACATTGTCATTACCAGCGCATGCACAAACCCAGCCATTCAAGTTGGCATTGATTTTTCTCAATTTTATTTCGTATGGCCATTTTTCGTCCGTACACACACGCACGCACACACGCACGCGCGCACGCACACATGCACACGCACACATACACGAGCACAGACACGCACATGCACGCACACGCACACACACGCAAGTAGTTAGAAATAACGCGGGCAACTAGCATTCTATTTGTGTTCTGTGTAGGCAGCTAATTTGTGCAAATAATTTGTGTGGCATTGTTACATTGTTGCTATAAAAGTTTACGTTTGCGCTATCCGATGGCGGTTGGCTGTGGATTAGCGTGAAATTATTAGTTTTAACTCTTTTGCTCTAACTTCCACCTTATTACCTCTTCTATCCAGATTGCCACTCTTGCCTCTTCAGACTCATTTAGTGCAGTGTTGCCACACTGAGATCTTATCATGCCAGTTTATGCCATCTTATCATGCCATAAGTGATACCTAAAAACTATCAGCGGCCTGTTGTCAGAAACATCGTAAAGTTAAGACTAATGTTGAGACTAATTTTGTTTCTGACAACGTCCTCTGGTTGTTAGACGCCTAGCGTACATGTCAGCTTACGAAGCCCACTGTAACAATCACCAAGCACCCTCGTTTGATCTTGCCAGCATCACTTGGCTTGCTATTATCACTTCTAAACTTGTAATTATTCATGCAAGTAAGTCAAGGCAAGAGTTATACAGTAAAATCTGAGTTAGTGGACACCCCTATAGAACGGCCACCTGTCTATAAAGGACACCCCTATAGAACGGCCACCTGTCTATAAAGGACACCCCTATAGAACGGCCACCTGTCTATAAAGGACACCCCTATAGAACGGCCACCTGTCTATAAAGGACACCCCTATAGAACGGCCACCTGTCTATAAAGGACACTTTCGGTGTTTTTCTTGAGTGGAAGTTATACATTGAAACCAACGCGTATAGAACGCGAACCTGTCTAAGAAGAACAGTTTTAGCATTTCCATTGACTGCATGCCCATATCGTATCCGGACGACCCCTTGGACAACTACCCACCGGACAACTACCACCCGGACAATTACCCCCTAGGACAACTCCCACCCGGACAACTGCCACCCGGACAACTATCCCCTAGGGTTAGGGTTAGGGTTGTTCCTAGGGGGGTAATTGTCCTAGGGGGGTAGTTGTCCGGGTGGCAGTTGTCTGGGTGGCAGTTGTCCGGGTGGTAGAACTTTGTCCTAGGGGGGTAATTGTCTGGGGGGTAGTTGTCCAGGGGGTAGTAGTCCTAGAATCTGCCCATATATTTATCAAGAGCTAATAATACATACATGTATTATTGTATTATATAATGCATTATTAGCTTTTGATATATATATATATATATATATATATATATATATATATACTATATCAAAGCGTCATAAAGAAGGTCTTTAAGTAATACTGCAAAGAATCGTCAAATTATATATATATATTAATATTATTTTAGTTTATTAATTCGACTTGGAATACTCGCAAGCATGGTTTCAGCATGGCATTTTACCGTTTGGACGCATCTCCTTTATACGTTCTCGACGTCGATGCGGCCATGTGCCGAGGGCGCCGCCCGAGATTGACCCACTTGTGTCTTCCAATCACAGCCCTACCCCGCACCAGCTCTTTTGATATTTTAAGAATATGGGGACCACGCAAATCGCCGATAACTAAAATCGGGCAAATCTCAAGGAACTAGGGCATTCTGCTTATGTTAGAACGGTTTCCATACGATAGAGTACAAATACGTTTCACCTATTTGCAGCACGAGGCGATCATCATTCGTGAAAAACTTGTGTGAATATTACTTTTATTGAGAGTTCCAAGTGTCTGATGCCATGTCCGCTTTCAACGGTCTTGCACGTGCGTCAAGAGCCATCCAACTAACCAACATCTCGTTATTGTTTACGCCTGAACCTGCGTCGATCTCGATCAGCGAGGCGCGCTGATTACCGCAGGCAGCCATTTCTTCTGCGCGGTTCGACAAAACACAACTTCATTGACAATTTCATCGTCCATTTCCAATTGGACAGCTTGCATCAAATTGACCCAACACCGCCATTTACTGCACCTATATACGTCAAACAACATCACAGTGTATATATTGCTCTTATTTAGGCCGCCGATAGGTTCTTTAATTTAGAACAAAGTCTTCATTGTTATCTCTAAACTACAACCAGCCGCTGACCGCTGTGAGACGTCGCGCTTGAGGTCCATCCGAATTTGGCGCCATCTCACGCGGAACAGCGCTCACACTCACACACCAACGCGTCACGCCGTGCGCATATCCGCGCGATCGCGGCAGTCTCATCGCGCCGCACCGCTAGCACCTCATACAGCAAAGCCTGTTGGCACGCAATCTTGTATCAAATGTCTCTCTAGATATATAATATATATAATATATATATAAATATATATATATATTAATATATATTGGTTTTACTGTACAATGCTTAGATTTCACGGCAATTTTACTCGTTTCGTTATATTATCTCCCCCGTGTCTACTCGCCCCTGCAGCTACCTCTGCAAACGTTAACACCCTTCCGCTTCTCGCCATATCTCACTCACTGTCTTCTGTCATCTACTTCGCAGGGCAGCTGGTGCGCGAGTATGAGATCCAGCTGATCGCTCAAACACTCCACGGATCGTGGCAGAACCGCTAACAGCGCAGCGTCTGGTCGTAGAGGAGGCAAGGTCGCAAGCAAGCTCCCAGCTCGTAGACGCACAGTCACTGCAGAAAAGTAATAATCAACGCCACGGACACACGCACACTGCACACAACACACGCACGGACACAGCACACGCACGACATCACACACACGCACCACACACACACTAAACGCATGGACGCCCAACGCATGCCACACTATCGCACGCACACACATCGCGTAGACGTAGCGACACAGCAAGCAGTGCATAACGTACACGCGAACGCTCACACGCCACGCACGCTCACACCGCACGCAACGAACGCACGCACTGCAAGCGACAGCATCGCGCACACAAACAAACGCCGCGCATACACACACGGACGCAAACGTACGGAACACACGCACGGCCAGCCACGCACGCACGCAACGCAGCCGCACAGCGCACGCAAAACAAGCACGTTCATCACCGCGCGAGCGTAAACACACACGTACAGCACGCGCGCCGCACACACAAGCAACAAACACCCACACACAACAGAAATCACAACACACAACACACAAGCGCATACGACACAACAACACACGGACACACACACAACCAAAAAAGCACCGCACACACCACACACACACACAAGCACAACACACACACAGCTCACTATGCGGACCACGCGCATGCACAACATGCAACGCCTGAGCGCACGATGCCGTACGCAACGTACCCCCGCCCACGAAAACCCCACAACGACGTGCCTACAACCACGCCACACGCCTCAAACGACCGCACCACAACCACCCGCACCGCCCGACGCACCGCCGCGAACCACAGCGCACCACACACGGACGACACGTCCAGCCACGCACCGCAGCAGCGCAGCCACCACGCGCCAACGTCACGCCACGCGCCGCCGCCGCACACCGCCGCAGACAACCGCACACGCACACGAACACCACACACCCAAAACACAAAAGCCCATACCCCAATAACCAGACGCGCACACACACACACCACCGCAACCATCCACCACAGCGCGCCAACACAATGCACCACACTCTCGTGCGCACACACGACACACACACCGAGAGCGCATTACACGACCGCCAAGCGCATGCCGCGCATGCCACACAGCAACACCCACACACACACACACACACACACACACACACACACGCACTAACCGCTACCCTCATACCTCTCCACAGCGACCACGGCACGCGACAACGTGCGCCACCTCTCCTTCCACTTAAAGATTAAGCGAGCCAATTTTCCTAGGCAGTCCAAGTAATCGCACACCCAGTACCACTTTGGTATATTTTATACACCCTTCCTGCAGATAGCTCAGGCCATGTATCCTACCCCTACCACCTATAGGAGCACACCCACGCCGGACGAAATGCTCTGAAATCCCCCGTCCCTAAACAGTACATGTAATCTCTCATTTCAAATTCTTCTTGTTAGTAGTATGCCAACATATGTAATATATAGGAGTAGTAGTCTCTTGTTGTCCTTTGTGTATCAAAGCAGGATGAAGACGTTTCGGGGTAACTACAACGTTTTTGGTGTTACACCCCTCCCTCCAACGCTCACAAAAGTATACTCATATGATACGGTGATTAAATCTCTTTCCTTTGCCGTGGTAAACAATCATGCTTTTGTTTATTGTAAAAGACGCTTTTTAACCCCCTAATTTTTTTCAGATTTCTCTTCCATCTTAAAATAGTTGTAAGTCTTGGGGTGTTGTAGCGTGTTAATGTATTATTGTAAACATATCGTTTTTTCTCATGACAACACATCGCACTAACATGTTTTCGTTTGTATATATACGTCGGGTTCTTACGTTCAAAGGCTTGGTTGGAAAAACCATCGTATCTATTTATCTACGCAGTTCTTTAAGCGTTAGCAGATAGTCAGCGTGCAGTGTATTGCTATTCCAGGTGCTGTGTGAACAGTATAAGATGAGTATGGCTGCGAAGGAGCGGGAGGCACGACAAATGAGGGAAGAGCAAAGCCACAGAGAGCAGGAGCTCAGCTCTTTCCAAGAAGCTGTACGTATTCACTGTGCAATAAACTGCTTATTGACACTAGCCATGCATATTCGCACACGTACGCACGCACACACGCACGCACGCACGCACGCACATACATATATTTATTTATTTTCATTTATATATGTTTATATATGTGTGCATATATATATATATATATGTTTTCAATATTTATATATATTATATATATTATATATATATACAGGAAATGTTAATATATAATTAATATATTATATATATATATTATATAAATTAACAGTGCATAATTATGTCTCCAGTTGTTGTCATTTCAATATTTCCTGTGTAACTTTAATTGGGAAACTGAACTTATTATCGAATTTTCCTGTGCTAATTAATTGGGAAAACTGAAACTTATATAATATTGAAAATGACAACAACTGAGTACAATAACTTATGCAGCTGATTTATATATATATATATATCATCATAATATAGATATATAAAATATATAACATATATATATATATTATATTTATATATATATATATATGATACATATATACATACCAATCCACACAGCTAATAATTATTACTTAGCTCTTGACTACAATAAAAACTGTACACAGCAATTACACACTAAACACTCAATAAAATCAGCGCTGGTCTCTCTGTTACGGAACTTAAATAAACGAGAACGGAACATCTGTCTATACTCGTGTGAAAATAAAACTTGAAAGTACTTGATATCTCAAGTTTCTGATGACTTTGAATATTCAGCGTTTAATCGTCATCTTATTAAACAAAAAAAATAATTCACTGTCAAAAGAAGCTGGGCATCTTTGTCTGAATTAAACTTGCTGGTAATTGGGATGGGAAAATATCA